TTCTTATCTAGAAGATACAGATTTATCTGTTAGTACCAATGAACCTCAAACTAACAATGAAATATGCACAAAGAATGATAATGAAAGTATGCTAATATTCAATTTAGTTTTTATTTTTATTTTTTCAATTTTGAAAATTGATTTGATTAATATAAATAATATTAAATGAAAATGTGTTTATTTATTTAGAACAAAGTCTTCTTCTCGATGGATTAACATATATACAAGATGATGTTCAGTTAATGCATACTAGTGGTCAAATAGGTATGTTTGACATATTTATATTTTTGAATATTTCTTTATTCAAATTAAAATATAAAATTAGCTGAAGCATCGTTAAATAATGAAACTAGTACTGATATTGTTCAATCTCGTACTCTATCAAATAAGATAAATAATATTGACGAACAATCAGCTGCAACACAATTAACAAGTGGTATAGTTCAAATAGATTTATATTTATTATAAAATAATCGTTTTGTTTTGTATTTCTATTGTAAAGATTGTTCATCACCTCAAACATCAGATATTGCACCGACTGTTACTAATCCCACTGAATCAACTTCACAAACAATCTTGTCTTGTACTTATACATCAGTTGTACATGTTCCAAAATCGCCAACTGCATTCGACACAAGTGATGAATCAGGTGAAGAAACTGGTGCATAAAAAACTGAAAAATTTTTATATACATATTCGTCAAATAATCAAATTTTCTTTGAGAAAATTTCGATTATCGATTTAAGCACACTGAAAAATGCTTGCCTTTTATTTTAAATTTTGTTCGCTTTATATATTAATATCTAATTTTTATTTGAAAACTTCATCGTATTTATTATTTTATCGATTATTCCTGCCAACAGCTAATAAGATAATAAACAATTAAACTTATTTATAAACTTAATGTTCTAATGAAAATCAATATGGATTTACTAATGTTTTATTAACCATAATATGCATAATTATCTTTAAAGATAAGATGTAACAAGTTATTACAGACAATCATTGACATTTACAATTCGAAAATATTTATTTTCATTAAATTGTTAAGCTCATAGCTATTTATTTATTTATTTTGTTCATTTTATCATTTCGTTGAAATAAGAACATTAAAAATTACATCAATTTTATTTTGATAAATACTAATTTGAATTTTTGTTATTATATTCAAGTTTATTAAAACAACTCAATAAAAATGTCATTCCATTATCAAGTAATCAAAGGTTTTCATAATACTTATCTTGAACCATTATTCTAACGTTCTAAAAATAAATAATTGATCTCGATTGTTAAGTGATACATATCTTTCATATTGAATGAAAATAAATTCATTTTTAATTTATATGTATATGTTGTGGTCAAAATTCAAATTCAGTCAAATTTTAAATTTGAATTTTGACTAACATTATATTGGTCAAAATTCAAATTTGAATTTTGCCTAGACAAAATTAAAATGCTGTTATAGTCAATATAGGAAAATAAAATGTTTGTACCTAGACGGTGTAGGGTGTGGGTGTGGGTGTGAGTGTGGTTCAGCTGAAGACTTACATGGACACCCACACCCACATCTACATCCACACTCACACCCACATCTACATCCACACTCACACCCACACCCACACCTACATCCACACCCACACCCCATACTATGGGTTATTTAATTTCAATCTGAATTTAAACAGAAAAAAGAGCACTTGATTTCAAATTGAATTAAGGGACTAAGGGAACTAAGGGGACTAAGGGGACTAAGAGGACTAAGGGGACTAAAGGGACTAAGCGGACTATTCAGTGGGGAAGCGTGTTTCCCCACCTAACACACGTTTTATTTCAGCGTCGCGGCGTGGGGGCGCGAAGCGCCCCCCGAAGAGCCGCGACCCATGCACGTCTCTGTGTACACCATTATTCCTACCCTTAGTCCGCTTAGTTAGTCCCCTTAATCCCCTTAGTCCCCTTAGTCCCTCTGTCTTGGTAAAAATGGGGTGTTGTTTTTTATTCAAAATTGAATTTGAAATAAAAAACCCATAGACTCACCCACATCACACACCCACACCCCTGTGTAACGAAAACGTGTCCATGCAAAAAAGAAAATGTCTTTTGCTCTACCAAGTGTCATTCAAAGAGGGGTGGCTGCTCAAATATGGACAGAGCTGTCGCGAAGGGTTAAAGATTGGGGGGAGGTTGAAAAATTTTTCGAGTATTTGTCAAAAAATTCTATAAATTATCGGCATTTTGAAAAAAAATTTGGAAATTTTTCAAAAATTTTTCAAGATTTTTGAAAATTTTTTGTGAGTTTTCGAAGATTTTTGAAGAATTTTTGAAAATTTTTCGAAAATTCTTCTGAAATTTTTAAGAATTTAATAAGAATTTTTTAAAACCATCAAGCAAAAAAAGCAAAATTTCCGAAGGCTGGGGTGTGTGACGCCCCCGTCCCCCCTGTCGCGACAGCCCTGAATATGGATTAAATTATTCTAGAACTCACATAATATTTGTTGGAAACTATTGTTAAATAAAAATTTCTTGATATTACAATTGTATGTCTTTCTTCGTCTTGTTTTACTGACTATAACAGCATTTTAATTTTGTCTAGGCAAAATTCAAATTTGAATTTTGACCAATATAATGTTAGTCAAAATTCAAATTTAAAATTTGCCTAGACAAAATTCAAATTTGAATTTTGTCTAGGCAAATTTAAAATTTGACTGAATTTGAATTTTGACCACAACATATATATATAGAATGAAAAAAATAAACTTATTTCATTATACACATAAATCACTAAGTTATTTTTAGCTTCTTTGATTGATACAAAAATAGACATGTTTATTTTTTTGCAACGTTTTCTTTTGTTTTTCTATAAAAAGAATGTTGACACTAAAATAAATGTTTGTAAATAGCAAATGAAGTATTCTCATCATAACAAAAATAATAGAAAATAATTATTCATTTCTTATTTGAGTATCGATACAAAAATCAAGGACAATAACATTCTTTTCATTATGTTTATCAATCGATGACACAAATGATACTTTCTTTTTTTCTTTTTTGAAAATACTCATACGCTTATCAGTTTGTTTCTTTGAAAGAAATTAAGAAATAATGTCATACATATTATCATTTTTCTTGATAATTGCTTATTAAAAGTAGATTACAAAAGTGACACATGATATGAAAGGAATGACACAACATGTCGATCTCTATTTCTCTTCGATAAAAGGCTGTGGGTATGGATGGGTGTGGGTGCAGGTGTAAGTGTAGGGAAGATTTATACATACACCAGCATCCACATCCTGGATGTCCGCGTTCGCAGATATACACAAACTCTTTTAGCACACTTCTATTGCGCAAATTTATTAATTACCAACAACTGCACTACCTTTTCAATACCAACACAGCTCTTATCTTGGTTTGTTGGAGAACTCCAAATTCAAAGATAATGTCAAGGAATCTCATGTTTGATCCAGTAAAAAGATAAGCAGAAAATTTTCTCTTGCAGTTGAAAAGGAGCTTTCTGTATTCCTAGTTGTTTTCATCACATGACTTACCATGTGTTACTTACCGGTCTACAATCACAAGAAGTCATTATCTGTTTGAAGCGGAATCAGACCATTTTCTGGTATTGAGACAACAGAACAGAATAAAAATATCTGATGGAATCAATAATAACCAAAGTATAATATTTTCTCTGGTAGTTTCCTGTCACCTAGTTTTAATGTAGATTAATCGATACCGCAAGACTAGAATTATGCATTCTATTCGAAAAATTGAACATTCGACTATGGTATCCAACTAAGTCAAGGAAAAATGATATTATGATTTTTTCTCAGAAATTTTCAATAAAAAATCTAATGATTACGATGAAAAAACTAAGTAGATCTAGAAAAAAGCATCAAGTTCCGTCTGACTAAGAAAGAACGTTGTTTGTTTTGCTATTTGTGTTACATTTTTGTTTTTTTTGAATATCTGTCCTTTTATTATCATCAATGATAGAGTTTGATCCATAGGCGGCGGAGCGGTCTGAGTCTAGGGTAGGCTCAAATTCTCAGCCAAGCCAGCCCTGAGAATGGATTGAAAGGATTTTTTTATTTG